GAGCATCAATTATCCAAAATTCGAAATACGATCAAGAACCTGAACTAAACTATTTGGGTATTTATAGGGACGGGGATTCGGGTAGGAAAAATAAAAACCAGTCGGAAATATCCTTACTTGTTCCACTACTGACCAGAGAACAAAAATAAATATTATCTATTAGGGAACTTATAATTAATATAGACTGCTCAGTCTACATTTTTCATATGACCGGCATTCGCCCAAAAGAGAAAGATTTAGCCTTTTAATAAAATATCCAGGGAACCATAATAAATGGGAATGTTATAACGCAGCACTGAAGAGAGAACGGCTTTTGATTTTATTAAATTACTTATGTTATTCAGGTGGGAAAGATAGGAAACTGCAGGGGAGTCTAATCGGGTTCGAGCGAGAGAGAGAGATACGACCTTATAATTCCTACCGATCAGTTGCTAAGGTACAAATTCTATTAGGTAGCATTATTTCATCGTTCGGTAACGATTTTATTCAATCTAGTGGCCCGTTTCTGACTAATTTCTTAAACCAGGAATATTTGTCGGTTATGTAGCGGTTGAGGTAGCGTGATGATTATTTCGGTAGCGGAAATGGGCCGCAGGTATAGGGGTCATTAGGTAGCTTAGTTCCCGCGTTAGGTAGCGTTGTCCGGGGCTTTGGTAGAGGAATCGGGGTCTCTAACCAAAAATCTGTTTTACCTACGGGGCCACTACCACGTCGGGGGTGTAATAAAATTTCAAGGTAGCGTTTGGGTCCTCCGAGGTAGGGAGCCCTTAGGTAACGTGTTTTCCCGGTTAGGTAGCCTACTCAATACCGATTATCTAAATCAATAGGGTCCGCAGGGTAAATATCCGTACAGGTAGCAAATCGAAATATTGAAAATTACGGAAAGGGCCTCAGACCCTGGGGAAGGTATAGGGAGCTTATTCTCCTCTTTAGGTAGCGTAATTTAGGGGTTTGGTATAAACTTCCTCGGTCACGGGCTAAATCAACCACCGTGCCGGGGCAGATAGCCGTACCGAAGATTTCCCCGTTTAATCATTGAGGGATCAATTATTGACTCAATGGTTTTATCGGCCTGAATGGCAACCTATTAATTAATCAACGGATTACTTCCCTAACGAATTAATAAATTATATACCCGATGGCGTCTCCGAGACGGCCAATAAGTAATCGGATTAATTGGTTAATTAATTGCGTAACCATATAAAAGTAATCCTAATTCGCGAGAGGTAGCATGATAGCTTTGTGGATGCCAACCATGAAAATTAATTAACTAAGAGATAGCGTCCCCATGCCCAACCGGAATCCACAAAATGGCGGACAATTACGTCTCGGGGAGCATTATTGCATCACCCAGAGAAATCGATCCAGCCTCGCGAAGGTAGCCGAAAGTTTTTAATAAAAGGTAGCGATAAAATTTTCACTGCAAAAGTAGCAATAAATTGAATGGAAGGTTAACGATAAATTTTTACTAAAAGGCAGCAATTAAGTTCAAGTCCATGTAGCAAAAATAAACCCGGTAAAGGTAGCTAAAATTATCAGGTAGCGGGGTCTTTTCCTGAGCTCTTCGGGTGAGCCTGGAAAACCCAATAAAGTAGGTAGCAGGGATCGAAAAATTAGTACTAGAGAGCGTAGAAAATAGGCAGTCAAAGGTAGCATGGGAGAGGGGTATTCCGAGCCGCGTGGAATGCTTCATCCCGTATATTTCGCCTTTTCGTGGCGAAATTAATTCCTAAAACCGGTTTAAAATGATTAACTAGCTTTTGGTTAACACGAGGGAGCATCAGGGAGCATTAGGGAGCATAGGTAGCCGTTGAGAGAGGCCTTTTTGGCTTTCTCAACCGTGAGTTTCCCGTATGGCGTCATATCGCGAGGTAGCGACGCCATTTGCAAATTTTCGTGCCCGCGACACCTAATTACGCGAAAATCACACTTCCCGCACTCATTAACACTTATTTAAGCACACGGGTACTTACCAGGGTACTCGTGGAGTCTCGGAAATGCAGTTTTAGAGGTGCAGATACTCTGGGGCAGGAGTGTGGTGTCGTCTAACGTACGAAATTTCTGGCACACACGTGGTTATCGTAACGGCCCGTGGGAAACTAACGCCGGCCGGTCGCATGGTTCCGTTCGAACTTGTTGCGCGTGGTGGGGGTTTTTCCTCGAGGCTGCCCGTCCGGTGGCGGCGCGCATGGTTACCTACGGAACTAGTGGTACCTTCTAGTTTTTCCAGCTCGCGGCGCGTAACAAATTCAAATTTAAAATTGGGGTTTTGTGCTTTTACTACTGTATATTAATATTATTGTTAGTTTCTATTACTCTGGGGTTCTATTAACCATGCTAACCGGTTTTTAGCCGAAATAAAGTTTTTCAAGGGGTTTTGAGCGAGATTTTGGGGGAGCGGATTTTTTGTCCCGTCTTATGCCTATTGTCAGGTAGCTAATCCGGTAGGGACCCTCTCCAGAGAGGGATCTTCTAACGAAACTAACTAATCCTAATTTATCTGTAACTATAACTAAACCTACATTTTCTATAACCGTAACTCAACCGAAATTTTCTAAACTGTAAAGCTCTTGGCAATCCATGCAAGCGAGAGAGCTATGTTCGCTCACATGGCCTTCCACCCGTACTAAACTGAAGATTACCCCAACCCTCTCACAACCAAGGGAGCGTAGGTGTCTCAACCTAACCGATGGGTTGTCCTACTCAATTAGCCCAAAAAGGGTTTCAGGGACTACCGGAAGCACAGTATATCGGCTAATTTTTCTCGATAGTCCCCGGCCCTTAACCCGATTTCGCGCCGACTATTCTCAACTCTTATATGGAGGATTTAAGGGGAATTTAGACTATTTCCTAATCGATAACTGTAACCGAATTTTTATCAGGGTTCATCTAAACTGTAGGGATTCCAATGCTGTTTCTACTTACTACTTTAAGGATCATTTTAGCGTCGCGAGCCTGGGGGAAATCAGAGACGGTATCAGGTAGCTGTCTCCGAGAGGAGAATAGGTAGCAGGTAGCTAGTTACTCGGGGATTATTCAGGTAGCTTTTCCCCGGATTATATTTAGGTAGCAGGTAGCTTTTGCGAGTTTTACCGAGGTAGCAGGGAGCTTTTCGCGAGTATAACTAAGGTAGCCGGTAACTGTTACGATTTTTACTAAGGTAGCAGGTAGCTGTTGCGAGTTTGACTAAGGTAGCAGGTAGCTTTTCGCGAGTTAACTAAGGTAGCAGGTAATTTTTATTAAATTTTCGCGATTCTCTCTCGCCCTTAACCTAGGTAGTTACCCTACGGGAATACAGGTAACGGATTCGCCTGGAATTTCGTCACAGCCTTAAGAGCTACAGAGATGACAAGGGGATGATTGTGAGATTTTGGAAACCAGTGGAAGTTCGGTGTTCAGTGCAGTGGATGAAACACCTTAGGGGGAAGGCATTTGCTCATATGATCAAGTCGATCATCGTACGACATTGGAGTGAATTTGTGAGTGAGATCTACATCACTATCATTGGTATTCATACTAAATTGATCAAACAGAGGGAATATGAGTATTGGTGTGAGGTGACAGATGAACAGTCTTCATCCTGTAACAAAATTGTATAAAGCGAGATGGATATTGGATTCTACCAGTATGAGGTTCAGGAGACGAAAGGAGAAGCGGTGGTTGCATCCAGTGATGAGAAGATGAGTGAGAGAGTTGAGGAGGTAAAAGTGGAGATAAAAGAAGACGAAGTAACAGACGAAAAAATCGACAACGATGCTGAGGCATATTACAACCCTGATGTTGTTGAAAATTATCGTTCTGGAGAGGGGTTGGGTGAGGTTGCGGGGTCTATTGAAAGAATTGAAGATGACATGATCGAGGTGGAGGAATTCAAGCTGGAAGAGAACCCTAACCATTCATTGGATCAGTCGGTAGCCATTGGTGAACCATTTTCATTGATGAATAGGGTTGACTGTGAGGAAATCGATGGACTGCAAGGGGGTGGAAAAATCAAGGTGGAGGAGGAGGAGGAGGAGAAGCAGGGAGAGGAGGGGGTCCACAAACCGCTGAATGCTTTGATGCTCGTGGATGGGGGTGAGCTATGCCGAGATGATGATGACGATGATCATGATGCTATGGGAGTTGTTGAACAGCGTGGGTGGCAGGGTGAGGAGTGGATTGATGGTGAAGGCTCAGTTGATGCTGATGGTTATGGTAGTGCAGTGGGGATCATTGAACAGGCAGAGGAGTGGGAGATGGCTAGTGACTCTGGGGACGATGTGGTTTGCTTTGGAGGTAATATTTTATTATTAATTTCAATTGAATCATAGAAAAAAAATAATTTTATCGGATGAATAATATTTTTTTTCAATTCTAGAAGTGACAGAGGTGATTCGATATCGCAACTCACGCACTGGAGAGGAGAGAGTGGAGCACTGGAGAATGAGAGAGTGGGTTGACCAGGAATAATATTGGGTAAGGAACAACAAAATTGATTTTTCCAACTAAAGAAATAAATACTTGTAGGTAATGCCTATCTACAAATATAATTTAACATTTTTTTTTTCATTCTGTTCTAGTCTCCAACATGTTAAGGGGTGAAGAAAAGAAGACAGAAGCTGTAAAAGAAATATTTTGAGATTATTGATTAAAACATGTAATAATTATCGTTGTTGAAGAAAAAACTGAATCGATCATCATTGCATTTGCCAGTACCAGCGAGCTTAAAGCTCTATATATATATCTAAACCGTTTTACAGTTATTGATATTATTTTATATGAACTAGCGTATATGGCGCGCTATGCGCGCCAAGTTGTTCACGTATGGGGTGTTATCATTATATATTACATATATATAAATTCAAAAAGAAGAAAGAAAAAAGTCTAAAAATTTATATAAGCAATAATTTAAGCTTTTTTCTTTAATACAATCATAATAAATATAACCATTTTTTTTTCTTACTGTAGACAAATCATTTAGAATTGGATTGTTATATAGTTATATTTATATTATATGTTGATTCTGTTATAAGCAATTGAAATACATGATAATAATGAGTATATTTCATTTATCATTTTCAATTATCAGGGGCTTATAACCCATATTCTCTTCAAAAACCCAGACGGAAAATACGGAAGAGAATAGGAACAGAGTTGACATAAAGACATTTCTTGTTCGTTCACGTACACATATCCTCTCTCTTTTTTTCTTTTGATGATGATTGAGTATTTTGGCCGCTTCTTTAGTCTAGTTTGGTTTATTTTTTTGATCGTATTCTCCATGAATTTTTTTCATAAGTCAATTAATTCTGAAATCATCAATTATAAAAAATATAAAAAATTATGAATGTAATCAGAATATTAATAAGATTAATATTAAATCTTAGAATTAGTGTTTAAGTATTCTGGGACTAAATCTTGGTTGATTTCATCATTTTCCTTACAATTTGTTGTGCTGTCAACACTTGTATAAATATGTTCAGTACTTACATCGAGTAAGTCAACAACCTGTTGATTAATTTCATTAATATCTATATTTCTGGCAGCTAATATTGCATATTTGGAGGCTTCTTTGTATTTTTTCATCTCAAGTATATCTTTATAGATATCTTTTGCAATATTGATATCTTCATTATACGTACAAAATGTTGGTAGTTCTATATTATCGTGCTCATCATTTAAATTGCCGGTACCAACTTGTAATAAAAATTCCGAAAATTCTTTCTCTGCATGAAGTGTACGCATATTGGTAGTTAATTTGAATATTTTAAATTTAGGCCATAATGAACTGAATTTGATGGATAAGTTTATTGTTTCACTGCGAGTACCACGGATATTTAATGGAAGTAGTTGCCTGAAGTCTCCACCCAATATAACTATTTTTCCTCCAAATGGTAATGTGTTATCCGTAATGTCATGTAAAAGTTTATTCATTATTTCTAGTGCATATCGTGGTGCCATAGGCGCTTCATCCCAAATCAAAACATTGGTCTCTTTTAAAATAGTTGCTTCTTTTGTTCCATTTTTGATTGTTGCAGTTGAATCGATGTACAATGGAACCGGTAACCCTAGTAACTAATGTACTGTTTTACCATGTGGCAACAACGTAGCCGCTATTCCAGTCAAAGCCATAGTGCTGACTTTTTTTTTTTGATCAATGAGTAAATGCCATAATGTTATATAGACAAATGTCTTGCCGGAACCTCCAGGTCCATCAATATAAAATCTTTTTTCTGATGATAATTCATTCGGGTTTCACATGTTTACTAACCCACCATTCTACATACCCTCACTCAATCCACATTCATCACTCTATATACTTTCTCATTCACTAAATTTCATATGCGAACTAACCCATCATTTTACATACTTAATCATCATCCATCTATATGTCTATACACTCACAAAATCATGTGTGTGTATAAAATAAATAAATTAAATCCATTACCATCCGTCCATACATCTACACTCTCTCTCACCACCATAAATGAATTAAATGCATTACCATCCATCCATACATCTACACACTCTTTCACTACCATAAATAAATTAAATACATACCATCCATCCATACATCTACATACTCTCTCATTCACTATGCACCTTATATTTACTAATTTTACGCACTCACTTACAACCAATCCATCCATCTATTGTACAATCCATTTATACATTTATTATATATTCACTCATTCACGTACATATCCCACCAACTCACTGTAGAAATGGTACAAAAAGTTGACAACATGCTTCAACAAATGATTTACCTTAATAACTCTCACCCACCTACTCAAAATCCATGTATTCATGGACCTAAACTCTCACTAATCTACCAATATATACCCTCACTAAACTTCCCATTCACACATCCATAAATAAATTTCATATACATTAAACCATCCACATAATCACTTCCATCCTATTCACTCCCATCTACATAAAACCATCCACACAGTCACTATTTGCTGCTATATACATTAATCTATTTACATAGTCGCTCATTCACCATGCATCTATCCATCCATATAGTTATTAACCCACTCTTCTAAAATAAAGATAATAAAATGTATAGAAATGTTTTTATATACTCACTAACTCACTCTTTTACACACCTACCTATACACCTACCTATACATAAAATAAATAAATTACATCCATTACCATCCGTCCATACATCTACACACTCTTTCACCACCATAAATGAATTAAATGCATTACCATCCATCCATACATCTACACATTCTTTCACTACCATAAATAAATTAAATACATACCATCCATCCATACATCTACATACTCTCTCATTCACTATGCACCTTATATTTACTAATTTTACTCACTCACTTACAACCAATCCATCCATCTATTGTACAATCCATTTATACATTTATTATATACTCACTCATTCACGATGCATCCATCTATCCATATACTCATTAACATTCTACAATATCTCACTTACTCATTTATAACTCATCCATCTATCTATTCATTCTATTTATTCTATAAACTATTTATTGTAAAACCCTGACTCACTTATCTATTCACTCTATCCATCTATCCATCCATACACTCACATACAGCAAACTTATTACATACTTGCTGATTCACTATACATCCATCAATCTACATATTCATTCATTCAGTGTTTTACATATTTATTAACCCACCATTATACATACCCTCACTCAATCTACATTCATCAATCTGCAAACTCTCTCATTCGCTAAATTTCATATGCGAACTAACCCATCATCGTACATACTTAATCATGATCCATCTATATGTCTATACACCCACAAAATCATCCATAGATAAATACAAAATGTATTTATTCCATTCAGTCATTTATTTTTTTCATCATTCTATTTATATTCTATAAATTATTTATTGTAAAAACTCTAACTCACTTATCTATGCACTTTATCTATCCATCTATGTATCCATACACTCCCATACAGCCAACTCCCTACATACTTGCTTATTCGCTATACATCCATCAATCCACATACTCACTCATTCAATTCATTTATTGCACACTCTCTCAATCAGAAATAAAAATATATAAAACAGCGGATGAATAAATTAAACCATTCATATACTTACTCACTGTAAAACCACCCATAAACAAATTAAATCCATTACCATCCGTCCATACATCTACACACTCTTTCACCACCATAAATAAATTAAATGCATTACCATCCATCCATACATCTATATACTCTCTCATTCACTATGCACCTTATATTTACTAATCTTACTCACTCACTTACAACCAATCCATCCATCTATTGTTCAATCCATTCATACATTTATTATATACTCACTCATTCACCATGCATCCATCTATCCATATACTCATTAACCTTCTACAATATCCATCCATCCATATAGTTATTAACCCACTCATCTAAAATAAAAATAATAAAATGTATAGAAATGTTTTTATATACTCACTAACTCACTCATTTACACCCCTACCTAGATTTACACATCTACGTCATATCTCAGACACTCACTTACAACTAATACATCTATCTATTCATTCTAAACTATTGATCCTAAACCCTGATTAACTCATCTATTCACTCTCTCTATCCATCTATCCATCCATACACTCACATACAGCCAACTCACTACATACTTGCTTATTTGCTATACATCCACCAATCTACATACTCACTCATTCAATGTTTCACATATTTACTAACCCACCATTCTACATACCCTCACCCAATCATTTTACATACTTAATCATCATCCATCTATATGTCTATACACTCACAAATCATACATAGATAAATACCAAATGCATTTATTCCATTAAGTCATTCATTTTCCGTCCATATATTTATTGTACACTCACCCAATCAGAAATACAAATATATAAAACGACCCATAAATAAATTACTTACTTACTAATTTCACTCACTCAAATACAACCAATCCATCCATCTATTCTTCAATCCATTCGTACATTTATTATATACTCTCCCATTCACCATGCACACTCACTCATTCTCCATGCATTGATCCGACCCACTTTAATACTTACACCAAAAAATCTTTGACTTTGATGTCGTCGATGTCCTCCGATGATGTAAAATCATAATCCTTTTCTTCTTCTAAACTTGAAAAACGAAAATTATATATATTTGAAAAAATAATATATAAAAAGATAAGAAAATAATATATACTATATTACTTACCATTTCGTTGCGAACTCATGATAAAAGACAAAATTTTTCACAAAATCTTTACCTTAAAATGTCACTCACACAAAACAATTGACGGCAAAGAACAACAGCCGATATATATGACGCTATATAGTCCGTCATTCGTATAGGACGTTTTTTATCAGCTTGAATTTTTAACTATATATAATTATTATTAATTCATATATATCTGTATATATCTATTATAAATATTATTTTAAAATATATATTATATATATATATATATATATACATATAAATATAATATATATATGGATATATTATATGAATAATACAATATGTAATATATAATATGCAGCTTAGCTATGCGCCAAAAAAAGCTGACAAAAAACGTTACATGCTTTTTTTTAAAAGGGAAATGAAGAAACTCCATTATTTTCAAATGAATTTTTTTTAGATTTAATATTCATATAGTTGAACAAAATCAATGATATCTCATAGAATTGGTTGGTTGGGCCCTTACGATTTAATAATAAATGAACTTGGGGGCACCACCCATAGATTCCTTTTCAATCCTGATAAATTCAAATGTTGTTCCCTCACCCAGATACTTCAGTTGGAGTTGTTTTTTAGAGGCGGCATCTTGAAGTTTCCCGAAATGTATTCCATCATTCCGGAGAAATTTTGTCACCCTTCCAGGAAACATACAATGAATGTCGCATTGACAGTGATGACAACACTCAATCCAACCCTAGTTTTGAGAGTTTTTTACTCGAGAAATGAGGTAGTGGATATTTGGATCCAACTCTGCCAGCTTCTTAGTTGGCAAGTAACTACTGCTAGCGATATTGTTGATTAATGAGAGATCCATGTTCTTCTGTAAAATGATGCAATAGAAAGTTGAAGCCTCAATTTTTCTCCTCACAATCTCGATGCAACGATATACTCTAAGAGTTGTTGATGTAGTGATGTCAGAGAGATCTCTCCTCAGAGTTCATATACTCAAAACTTATCAGAATAATGATATCATCATTCTGAGTCACCAAGAGAGGAGTCTAGACGCTTCTTGAGGTATGTTCACAATATTCTGGAGTTTTCGAGAAGTGAAATCTAAGATGATCATCATTTTATTTTTTGTTGCATCCGAATGAGTCATCTTAGTTTTTTTAATGAAAATGAGTCATCGCTTGGGTATATATTAAGGTGAGGAAACAATATCAAACCAGTTAGTGTTCAGTACACCTTTTACTATGGATGAACAGCGGAAGAAATTACTACGGGTGTTGAGAGAAGCGAATGAGAGGCTGCCTTATAGTCAACCAGATGATGTAGAGAATCTGAAAAACTTAACAAAGAAGAACATCAAATTGTTAAACAAATATTTGAAAAATGCAAAAACTAGTGGTGAAAAAGGGGGAATCCAAGCGACCATTGCAGAATTATTATGGTATTTTGAAGCGTTTAAATATCGGAAGAAACATGGTGGTAAGATTCCAAGGAAAAAAATATCCGTGAAGAACATCAACGATCGAGTGCAATGGAAAGACCTGCAATCTGCTTTCAAAAATCGTATCAAAACAGGTGCTGTCATCAATTTAGTTCACAAAGACATCAAATCATTTCTTCAAGATTGTAAAACACTAGTCACAACTCATTTGAAACAGCTCTCAACTGATGATGGGAACATTAAAGTTAATTGTGTTCTCTTATGCAAATTTACAATCATAAAATCAGATGAGATTCAAGAAGAAACAAAGCATTTCACCACAAAAAACGAAGTGATCCTCCCTGCTACAAACCTGAGTAATTGGTTCAATCATTTTATTATTAATTATTTTCTCGTGAAACTAGAAGACTTCCAAGAAACTGGCTCTGGTTGGGCATTGAGCGAAATAATAAATTTGGTGGTTAATGCCAACAAATTTGACCCATTAACAGGTGGAGATGCAACATTCATCAAGCTATCAAAGTATATACAATCAAAGAAAGCTGTGGTCAACATTCAAAACAGCGACCAATTCTGTTTTTTATGGTCAGTTATAGCAGCTCTTCACCCAACAAGTGTTAATGCCAATCAAGTGAGTTCATATCCTCATTTTCGCAACATACTCAAATATGATGGTCTCAGTTTCCCAATGACACTCAAAGGTATTCCTATGTTTGAAGAAATGAATGATCTAGGGATCAATGTTTACGGCATGGAATCTCATGAGCATAACAAAAGCATCATCCCCATGTATTTGAGTAAGAAAATTACAACCAGAGAAAAAATCCACTTATTCATGGTTGAGAGTAATGTGACACAGTCTGTTGAACCAATCTTCCATTTTGCGTGGATTCGCAATTTATCACGCTTGGTTAGTTCACAAATCTCTAAGAATAAAGCTTTCACATGGTTATGTGATCGTTGCCTGTGCCACTTCAAACATCAACATTCCTTCGAAAAGCACAAGGAAAATTGCGCCAATTTGAATAAAGTGCGAATGCTTATACCCGAAGAAAAAGATAAAATATTAAACTTCAAGAATTTTAAACATGGAGAGACAGTCCCTTTCGTCGTTTACGCAGATTTGGAGTGCACGATAGACTCAAAAGAAAATGATCATCATATCCCACATAGTTTTGCATTCTACGTAAAATGTGCGTTCAACGATTCATTATCAGAACTGAAAACTCACCGAGGTCCGGATTGCATCGAGTGGTTTTCAACAGAGATGAAGTTGTTAGCTTACAGAGTAGATAAATTTCTCAAGACTAACCAGAAAATGGAAAACTTATCAACTAAGCAAATTGAAGATTTTCAATCAGCAGTGGTATGTCACATGTGTAAAAAAACTTTGATGGCTGGTGATAAGGTTCGTGACCATTGCCACTTGACGGGAAAATACCGTGGAGCTGCACATAGAAGTTGTAATCTTTCGTATCAAGATTCTCATATTATTCCTATTGTATTCCATAATCTCTCCGGTTATGATGCGCATCTTATCATCCGTAGCTTTGCAACATCATTTGGGGGTAATATAAAAATTCTTCCGATAAATAAAGAACGTTATATTTCTTTCACTTAATGTGTGGGAGGGACTTGTGTGAGCTTGAGATTCATTGATTCGTTTCGTTTTATGGGTAGTAGTCTCGAAAAATTAGCAAATTACCTAGATAATGATCACAAAGGAATAACCAAGAAGTACCACCCAGACCCCGATAAATTCAATCTATTGTGTAGGAAGCGGGTATTCCCCTATGAATATATCAATGATTGGTATAAACTTGATGAACCCAACCTTCCTGAGAAATGTGTATTTTACTCTAAATTGATTGATGAGCATATATCTGATAATGATTACCAGTATGCTCTAAATGTTTGGAACCAATTCAATATTAAAACGTTGGGGGAATATTCTGATCTCTATCTCCAAACTGATGTCTTATTGTTGGCAGACATTTTTGAAAATTTCCGGCATAAGTGCTCATCAACTTATGCATTGGATCCTTTACGTTATTATACAGCCCATGGATTAGATTTTGATACTATGCTGAAATATACTAGAGTTGATTTGGAGCTTCTTACAGACCCCGAAATGATTTTATTCATCGAGAAAGGTATTCGAGGTGGAGTATCACAAGGTGCAAATGGATATGCTCATGCTAATAATCCATTTATGGGTGAAGAACTCTACAATCCTTCATTAGAAACATCATATTTGATATATTATGACGTTAACAATTTATACGGGGCTGCTATGAGTATGAGCTTACCATGTGATTCATTCAAATGGGTTGATACTACTTCTGTAGATATTCTAAATGTTTCTGATGATTCTCCAGTTGGGTATATCCTCGAAGTTGATTTGGAATACCCAAAAGAACTACATGAATTGCACAAAGACTTCCCTCTTTGTCCCGAGCATTTCATGCCTCCAGGAAGCAAACATACAAAATTAGCTACCACATTTTTCCCGAAAGAAAAGTATGTGATACATTATCGGCACTTGAAACAATACATAGCTCTTGGCATGAAGTTGAAGAATATTCATCGTGTTTTGAAATTTAACCAAAAATCTTGGTTGAAATCTTACATTGATCTAAATACCATGGAGAGACAAAAGTCAAAGAATGAATTCGAGAAGAACATTTATAAATTAATGAATAATGCCGTTTTCGGGAAGACTATGGAAAATGTTAGGAAACAGAGAGATATTAAGCTCGTCACACATTGGGGTGGGCGATATGGAGCAAAAGCATTGATTGCAAAACCCAATTTTCATAGCTGTATGGTGTTCGATGATGATATGGTAATTATTGAAATGAATCGAACATCCATATATTTCAAGAAACCCATCTATATTAGGTTTACAATTCTCGATTTATCGAAAACCGTTGTCTATGATTTTCATTACAATTATGTTATACCTAAGTTTGGAGATACCGCCAAATTGATGTATACTGATACAGACAGTTTACTATACTTGTTTCGCGTACCGAACATCTATAGATTTATAAAAGAAGACGAACACATGTTTGATACTTCCGACTATAAAGAGAATAATGAATATGGGATACGGTTGGCAAACAAGAAAGTACTGGGCCTCATGAAGGATGAGAATAATGGACGAATCATGACTGAATTTGTGGGTCTGAGAGCTAAGACATATGCATTTAAGATGTTAGATGATGATACAGCTAAGAAAAAGGCGAAAGGTGTTAAAGCTGCTACACTCAGGAAAATCACATTTCATGATTATAAAAACTGTCTCTTTGATAATGAATACATTGTTAGAAATCAGTATCTCATTCGGAGCAAAAAACATGAAGTGCACACAATGTGTCAGAAGAAATTAGTATTGAGCTGGGAAGATGATAAACGTATGATTTCACCCCACACAACAGATACCCTACCTTGGGGGTATATCAAGCCACATGTGTAATATATATTATATGACTATTTTCCATAGATTGTATTGTTAGGATTAAGATGGAACAAAATGAAGATGAGTAGAAGAACAATTTTGTATTTTATTTCCACAATAAATTTTGTGCATCATGTATCAAACTTAATGATCTATCTATTATGTAAATCATCAAAATCCAACCATTTCACATCCAACTCAT